TACTGTTTTTGAATCCGAACGGGTTGGCTATTAAGTGGTAAGTCACTAAAACGGTGCCACCAACAGATCTTACATGGAAAGGTTTTTAATTTTTTTTTTTTGATTTATTGCATATTTTGGGTGCATGTAATATTTATTGAAGCCTGTGTCTATCAGTATTTTGATCATTCCTCACCCACCGATTCTACAGTTTATGTACGGTAAGGATGAGGATGTTACTCTAAAAAATTAAGATCAACGAAGTCGGATTCCAATGGTTCGTTGTTGTCTAGCTCTTGTTCTTGATTATATTCTTGTGCCTCACTATATTCGGAAGCTGATGCTCCCTCAATTTCAGACACATATTGTTCTGCGTTTTCAGGTATTTCTGTTCGTCCTCAGTTGTCACATGGAAGTTCATTTGTCTTTTGTCAGTCTGTCCAAATGTCTGCTGTGCCAATGGTCTTTTAGTTATTTAATTATTTTTAATTAATGAGTTTGCTTTATTTTCATAACATTTTTATAATATTTTTGCTTAAAGCTAGCTTAAATGTACTTTAAGATTTTAAGGCATCTTTACAACTGAAAAATTTTAAATTATATTTAATATTACAATTTATTGATTCAACATGATTTAAGCAAGGAAAAAGTGGTACAAAAAAACTTCAGCAGATGAACTTAGAACTATTATTTAACTAACTTAGTTGATAAGAGCCAAAACTTCAGTAAAACTAACTTGGGCTAGTGAGTGAAGGATCTGCTCGCACTTGATTGTGTATAATAGATGTTAATTTAAAATTAAATTTATTTTTGCTTTATCGTGCAATTTACTAGTTGAAAAAAAAGGGAAGATTGCGGATTATTTTTAAAATCTTATTTTGAGTGGTTTGCAATTTTTTAATATGAGTATGCGAACAATTTCCCCAAATCTCAGAACCGTAAAGAATAGTGGGTAGGAAAACTTGTTTGTAAATTAGTAATTTGTTTTTAAAGGATAGCTTAAAGTTCCAATTTGTAAACGGATATAATATGCGAATGGTCTTATTTATATTGTAAACTGTTTTATTAATATATTCCTTGAAGATAATCTTTTTATCAAGGTGTATACCAAGGTACTTAACGGAGTTTTTCCAAGAAATATTAATATTGTCAATAACAAGATCACGATTAGGTAGGAATTTATTAGCACGTTTTTTTGTAAAAAAAATTCCTTTTGTTTTGTTGGCATTTAATTTAATTTCCATTTAGTTAAATAATCAGATATTTCATTAAGTTGTAATAATTGTAATATATTTTAAATGTCAGAAGAAGAGCCAGTACAGAGTAAGGCCGTGTCATCTGCAAACATGAAAGTACGACAATTGACGAATGTCGGTATGTCATACATGTAAACATTAAAAAGAGTAGGCGCGAGCACTGAACCTTGGGGGACTCCAGCTCGAACCAATTTCATTTTGGAGTTTTGGTCTCTTAGTCATGGTGTCATTAAAAGGTGTGTTCATGCGTCTTGTCTGCATACTTTGATCTATATCCATTGGTTCCGGCCGCGCTTGGGGCTTTGGTGCCGATGGGCGTGGAGGGGGTGCCGAGTGGTTTCCCTGTGGTTGGTTACTACTTCTGTAATATTGCTGTTGTTGCTGTGGTGGGTTATAAGCCCATCGAGGAGTTTGTGGCATATAGGCCCATTGGGGAAAGAACTGTTGCCTAGATGTTTGAGAGTTTGGTTGTATGTTTCGTCTTGGCAAGGGTGGTGCTGGTCCAGGAGGATCGTTGAATTTTCTCGAATTGGCCTGATTATTATTGGCGTAATTGATTCTGAAATTTTGATTTTCTAACTTCTCACATAACTGGAGAGCCGATGGTAAGTCATCTGGATCCCAATAATCTTGCTAAATCGCCGTTGAGACCTCTAACAAAGGTGTCCAATGCCTTGCCTCGATAAGATTTAGCAAAAAGATCCATTGATCCATTGAATTTCCATACAGGTAATTTTATTCAAAATTAGCTACAAGTGAGTTGATAGACGCGTTAATAAAATTCTGATACCGTCTGGTTGCCCTGTATTAGAGACGTCGTTTGGTACTCGAGTGTAGTGACATCTCGTTTGTCAGCGTAATGAGTCGGCAAGCATTTCGAGATAGCCGTCCAGTCTAAGGGGGTTTGATATGATTCTAAAACCGATCCCGATTCCCACGATCTTGTTCCTGATGACGTTAAGAATCCAGAACTGAATTCTCCTGCTTGTCCTGAAAACTCCCTAAGGCACTTTACTACATCTGGAATTCTGTCCAGTTTGTTTATGTTATTCCCCTCGATGTTTACTGGTTGGTCTACTAATTGAGGGACCCCTGGGCTTAACTTATCTACTATCATTCTCAGTACCATTACCCGTATTTCGTCCTGCAGACCAGCCATATTGATGGGAAGGACTTGATTCTGCTGCTGGTTTGCAGATGCGTTTAAAATGGGGGGTCTTACAAGGTTATTTGGATTAGCCATTTTTTCTTTTTAAATTTTAGTTCGGCAGTAGCAAAAATAAGTGAGCGGAATTGGCAAAAATTAATAAATAATGATACTGTAGATTGCAATTGCTTTGCAGTATGATAATGATTTTTATAAGTTCTTTCAAAAAAATGTACTATTTGTAATTTCTGTTAATTGTTTTTAATTAAAAAAACTTTGATTTCTTAAGAAGTTTTTTTCCTAAAAATGCTTTATTTTAACAATTATTTCTTTTTAAAATGATTTTTTTCTAATTTTTATTTTAATTTTTATTTCAGTTTTCTTAGATATCTTTATTTAAATTAATATTTAAGAATTAATATTTGAATTCATTTACTTTACTAGAATTTATTTTAACTTTTTACTTCAATTTCAGTATTTCTAAAAACGCTTGCTTTTAATTATTTAGAATTGACTTTTTTTCTTATTTTTATTTTTTGTTTTATTCCTGTTGTTTTAGAATTTCAATTGTTTAATTTGATTATCTATTTCTTTCTCGATTTGTTTTACTTAATACTTAATACTACTTACATTATAAAAATACATCCTGGACTGGCTGGCAGGTAGTTTTCCTTTTCGCTGATCTACTGGGGTACCTCTTCCAGCACCATCGAACCAGTTGTCTGCGACCAACGTCTGCAGACCGATGTAAGTGAGTTCGCTTGCTTCTTGGACTTGATTGTTTCGCTGGAGCAGCCAATTGGGTGCGTTTATCAGCGGCAGTTAGTTTTAATCCTTGGCAGCCAAATGGGTGCACTTATGGGATTTTTTTTCGGTTTTTCAGTTCACTACGGATATGATGAAAAACTTTTTTCGAACGTGATTACAATAACCAGGGCAGCTAATCGGGTGCACTTACAAGTTGCGCGTACTTCGCGTTGTTTAACTTGACTTTAGTACCGCGCACAAGCCCTTCTTAACGTTGGGCGCCAGTTAACTCATATAAAGTTCCAATTAATAAAAAAATATATTTCTTTATGTGGTGTTGTGACCATAAGGTCTTTATTCATTGATTGCAAAAACAGAACTAATTTTAGTTTCACAAATTTGTCCCTACCTAACTTCGCCTGCCCACCTATGCTGCTGACGTCGGTGCTGCTCTGCTCACGGAAGTTGGGCAGACGCTACGTCTGCACATTTATGTTGTGCAGGTACAGCGTTTGTTCCGCAACCGGACGCCCGTGCGACCCCACGAGTGTTACGTAAGCGGATACGCGAGTCACCTGACAATTAATTTATTTAATAAAATTGGAATAGGTCAAATACGATTACATAACAAACTATTGACAGACAATCTAGGGGAATTGAGATCGTATTGCGAAGGGGAAGGAATCTGAGCTCATGCTGAGCTCATGGGGCAGTGAGGACTGATGTCCTACGAATGGTACAAAATAAATTATTTTTCAAGTTCTTCGCTAACAGAGCTTGATGTTGCCCCGTGTCGATTGTGGCTTCCCCACCAATAGTCACCGCTGCGGAAAACTGCTGCTTAATTTGCCAGTTGGCTTAGAGAGGTATCACCTTGCGACCGCCGCTGGCCTCTTTGCCGCACATCCGGTAGAACAGCAATTGCTAATTTCGGCAACCTCTGGGTGGTGTCCACTGGTCCTGGATCTGTGTCCCATGTTACCTTCTGCATGTGACAGGTGCTGTAACTGGGGCTTTGTTTCGGAATTCCGTATACTCTTTTGAAAACGCTACCCGTTGTGCAGCTTCTTGTACTCGTCTGCCTCATCACAGTCTGCATCTCGACCATGTAGTCCTTCCTTTTTTGCAAATTTGGCAAAGAACCCATTGGGCATGACGTAGAAGCTCCCTATGAACTCAGCCCAAGTCCTCCATTTTGAAGCTTTTCCCTGTATTAATTCCGGCAGCGCTTGGACAATCATGTTTAGGTCCAATCCGCATGTGTTGACGAACCATGCGAACTCCACTTGCTCCAAGAATTCGAGGTGTTTTTCTCCTCCAACAAGGCGGAAGGACCATTTCCTGAATTGTTTTGCGATCTAGTGTTACCAGACTGGCTCTGGTTGGGTCTAGGACTCTCCTTCTCTCTCCTGCTGAAGGAAGGAAGGTCCTGAAAAGTATGATTATATAAAGTAAATATATAGTTGATACCATTGATCCTGACAATAGCCGAGTCGATCTGGGCATGTCCCTCCGTCCATCTGTCTGTCCGTCCGTAAGAACGTCGAGATCTCAGGAACTTATAAAGCTAGAAAGTTGAGATTAGGCATGCAGATTCCAGAGACATAGACGCAGCGAAATTTTGTTTTATTATTGTTTTTTTTTATTTAATTTTACTTATTATTATTTTACTATTTATCTTGACAATATGTATTGACACTTTCAGGCTTTTTTTCAGATTGGTTAGCCTTCGATACATACAATAGCTTCACTTGCAATGGGTAGAATACTAAAAGCATTTGCTTTTGTCATATAAATATTTAATTTGTTGTGAATTGTTTAATTGTGTATAGCTTTATTTGCAAGATATTAATTTCACTGCTTTATATTAGATTTGCGAACGAGTTAATCGACAAGGCTGGCAGGTAGTGCATGATGAATTTGATCGCATGGGACCTTATGCTTACAAGGGAACTCAGTGGGTGTCCTACGATAGCCCATATATGGTCCGGAAAAAGGCATATCTGGCGAGGTCATTGAACCTGGGCGGCGGAATGGTGTGGGCCCTCGATCTGGATGACTTTCGCAATCGGTGTGGAAATGGCGTACATCCTCTGCTAAGTGAAATTCATAAAGTGCTTAAGGATACTCCTAGTTCATTGGATAAACCGGGTAACTTAAATCGTAAACAATTAAATTTACCCTTTCTCAGTGTCATTGTCACTAAATTCTTGTAGCTGGTCTAGTTCCTATTGAATCGAAACCTATAGAGTACCCAGGCGTGGATGGAATGAAACCTGAGTCTGGAGGAGAGGATACGGAGATGCAGTCCATTGAATCAGTGATGCAGTCCACCAATGATAAAGATGAAGAACATGAACTCTTAGAGCCTCTACATGAAGTCGACCCAAACAACGTTAGTGAGGAGGAGCACATAGAAGCTTCTGATATGTCTACGGATTTTAAGATCGTTTGCTACTTTACCAACTGGGCGTGGTACCGCCAAGGTGGTGGTAAGTTCCTGCCGGAGGATATTGATGCAGATCTGTGCACTCACATAATTTATGGCTTCGCCGTGTTGAGTCGGGAAAAGCTGACGATTCAACCTCATGACTCTTGGGCTGACTTAGATAACAAATTTTATGAGCGCATTGTAGCCTACCGAAAAAAAGGCGTTAAGGTAACTGTGGCAATTGGCGGTTGGAATGATTCTGCTGGCGATAAGTACTCCCGACTAGTAACGAATCCAGAGGCAAGATCTCGGTTCGTCCGAAATATCCTGAAATTTATAGAGGAATATAATTTCGACGGGTTGGATCTGGATTGGGAGTATCCCGTTTGCTGGCAAGTGGATTGCAAAAAAGGGAGTGCAGACGAGAGGACTGGATTCACAGCTTTGGTGCGGGAGCTTTTTTATGCCTTCCAGCCCAAGGGGTTAATTCTGTCGGCTGCCGTGTCCCCTAACAAGAAGGTCATCGATGCTGGATACGAAGTTGCAGAGCTTTCTTATTACTTTTCTTGGATATCTGTGATGGCGTATGATTACCATGGTCAGTGGGATAAGAAGACTGGTCACGTAGCTCCAATGTACGCCCACCCTGAAGGAACAGTAAATTTTAACGCCAATTTTTCGATGAACTACTGGATATCGAAGGGAGCTGACAGGCGAAAGTTAGTAATGGGAATGCCTTTATACGGCCAGTCATTCTCTCTGGCTGAGACTAGTAACCACCAATTAAATGCTCCCACCTATGGCGGTGGTGAAGCTGGAGAGGCTACAAGAGCCAGAGGATTTTTGGCATACTATGAAATATGTTTAAAAATCCGACATCATAGGTGGAACGTTGTCAGGGATACCAAGGGACGTATGGGACCCTTCGCATATCATGGGGATCAGTGGGTTTCCTTCGATGATGCACCCATGATCCGGCATAAAAGCGAGTACATCAAGGCAATGGGTCTAGGTGGAGCTATGATATGGGCCCTAGATTTGGACGACTTCAAAAATGTCTGCGGATGCGAAACATATCCCTTGCTAAAAGCTATAAATCGCGTTCTCAGAGGTTTCGGGGGTCCACATTCAAAGTGTTGGCTTGAACAACGCAAAAACACAATGAGTAAGAAACTTTAAGTATATTTCAAGAAACAAGGCTAATTTCATACAATTTCCGCAGAGCCAAACGACGACTCCTTCAGGTCCACCATAAATGCACAACCTGGACCAAATCTTCATTCTGGTACGCAAAATTTATCCTTAAATGTTATGTCCATCAAATGCCGCAGCAAAAACTATTTGCCTCACGAACGCGATTGCACTAAGTACTATATATGCGACAATGGAACGCACGAGGAGCGAAGGTATGTATTATAACTGCGAAGAACATTTGTTGTAACATTGGAAACATTAATTCGGGAAAAATAACACGCAAAAGCTGTACAAGATTGTTTTAAAACGTTAGAAAGTCCACAAACCGCCCAAAACTGCCACGCCGCACCTTTTAAAAAATGTTCAAGTTTTGTTTTATTATTTGCTAACAATCACCAAAATTTACGATAACAAAGGGAGATCCTCGTATCGGCAAGAACGCAAAAGTCCCCACACTAAGCATCATTCCAGCAGACGAGACAACATGCAGAAAGGCAAGAAGGAATACAGGAGCCACCATCCATTACATCAGGAACCAGTCCACTGGTTCAAGTATTGGAGGCAGTAAGCTCATAAGAATAGAGTAATGTTTACCGAGAAATGCAAATTACTGAAGGACTTTTTATGAAATGCTTTTTGCGTCTGTAGTACCACCCGGATAATAGCGATCGGTATATAGCGGAAGCGGAAGGGTATATTTCGAGATATTCTCTTCTGAGCCCTGAGCTACTATTAATATTGCATAGGCAAAACTAGTAAGCTGGTGATCTAGTTATCTGCTTATAACTATTTGTCTATTGTTCTTCTTTTATATTATTATTTATATTATTATTTACCAAGTTTTCATCGTCATGATGAAACCTTTCCGCGCAGTACCTAATTCTTCTATTGCCTTTTTTGTCTTTGTTGGATTTGGAGGCTGTGTGTAAATCAGTGTGGATCTGTCTTATGAATGTTCGTATGAATGATATGAATGAAGTGTGTGAGTTAGGATAAGTGAATGAAGTTCTTCTTTTAAGTATTTCTTCGTTACTTTACAGATTGAAAATGTGGATGATGTTAAATGTCTCTTTTGCTTTGCACCTAGTTAGGTTTCAAGGAGGATATTTATAAATAAATAAATAATTAATACTCAAACTATACTCAAATAATAATAAAGTGAGCTGAAAAAGTCGATGACTAGGGCTATGTCCAAGCATTTTATTTGTATGTATGATTTTTGACGTTGTGCAGTTTTCTGTCTTATACCTCGGTGTAAGTTTCTTTGTTTTTTTAATCTATTTTGAAAAATAACTCTTTCGGTTGGTGTACATTGTATCGATTGCTTTTTGGTCGTATTTAAATAGTCTATATCGGTTGTTCACGTCATTTCTATGTCTTTTGGTAAGCTCAAAATTACTTCTGAAAAATATGTCTATAGGACTTTCTTTTCTTACTGAGAACATTGAATAAATATATTACTAAACATCTTGTGAATAAAGTCTTACCACATAATTTCAGTTAATATTAAATGTGACGTGTACAGATTTTTTTCTAAACTTAAACATCATGGCAGCTGAATGTAAGGCTCCTTCGTTATAAATTATTATTCATTTCAGCATATCGTACGGTATTGCCATGTCCCTTGGCGGATTTTTAATATCTCTGTATGCTCTGGAATCTAGAATTTTAGCTGCGGAATATATTTTGATCCGTCTAAGACAATTTATTTTATTATAAAATATGTCTATGTGAACTATTTTTCCTGGTTAAATTTGAATGTCAGTTGGCTGGAATTGTTTTCTAAATTTGTATGCTGTTAATACCTTTAGATCCCTGTGAGCCCTTTTATGTTCAAAGGTGATTATGCCATTTCTTTTAAGTTCTGAACTCACTTTGTATATTTTTTTTTTGTGCGAGCCTCGTTTTTTGGCGTTTTTAAAAGTTGGAGTTCTTTTTAAAGTTTTAGTCTACCAAAAGAAACTGTACCTCATTTTTATACAGTAAAAGTTAGAAAAAAGCGTTTTCGGCTCTATGATGTCTTATAATCTTCATCCGGCAGAGTCCATCTAGCAAAGCCCATTCATATGAAAGCCGCTAAAATCGCTAAATGCTTAAAGTTTGGAATCAAACATACTGACTCTGGTAATGCATACATTTAGAACTATCACCCTCAAGCTTAAAGTATTCCCTACGGAGGGCCTATCCAAAACCCATAAAAACAGAGCCCCAAATGAATTAATTTTTGCATAAAAAAATACTGTATTTTTCATTTCATTAAACGTTTTCTTTATAGTGTAAGGAAAACAATTTATTTTAAAATCATAACTCGATTTAAGTTTGTAATCAATCAATGTAACTATAACATATCTTGTTTTTATCGATTTATTTTTTTTTTAGCTGCCCTGAAGGACTTCAATGGAATAAAAACTTCTGCGACTGGCCTAACAATGTCCAATGCCCGTTGCGATCGGACCAGATAACTCAGAAGCCACCGATCCATAGCTCCAATCCTACAAACGCCATCACAGAGCCCCTAACTACCAATAATGCATACAAAGTAGTCTGTTACTTTACGAACTGGGCATGGTACCGCCCATCCCAGGGCAAGTATGTGCCTGAAGATATAGACGCAAACTTGTGCACCCACATCATATACAGCTTCGCGGTGCTCGATAGCAACTCGTTAACCATTGAGACGGATGACTCCTGGACGGATATTGACAACCGTTTTTATGAGCGGGTTGTAAAATACAAAAAAAGAGGTATTCGAGTCATGTTAGCCATCGGTGGGTGGAATGACTCTATGGGCAACAAGTACTCGCGCCTTGTACTCGATTCACAGTCCAGGAAGCGCTTTGTAGCAAGTGTGATAAGTTTTGTAGAACAATACGGTTTTGAGGGTCTTGACCTCGCCTGGGAATTCCCAGTGTGTTGGCAAGTGGACTGTGACAAAGGTAATCCCACGGAAAAGGAAGGATTTGTTGCTCTTGTCAAGGAACTGTCGCAAGCCTTTAAGGCAAAAGGCCTTATTCTTTCGGCAGCAGTCTCGCCCAGTAAAATGGTTATTGATGCCGGATACAAAGTGTCTGAACTCTCTCCACACTTTGACTGGCTGGCCGTCATGACATACGACTTTCACGGTCATTGGGTTATGCGGACGGGCCATGCATCCCCGCTCTTCCACAAAGTGGGTGACGCAGACCTATATCTTAACGGAAACTTCAGTATTCACTATTGGTTGGCACGAGGTATTCCTAGGGAAAAGCTGGTTATGGGAATGCCAATGTACGGTCAGACGTTCACGTTGGCTGACCCAAATCGCCGGTCACTAAATGATAAAACAGTGGGTCCGGGGAAGGCAGGAACCTTAACTCGAGCAAATGGATTTTTAGCATACTATGAAATCTGCGAAAAGGTCGGCAACGGTGACTGGGAAGTGGTGAGGGATGAAGAAGGAATATTCGGAACCTATGCATACAGTGGCAACCAGTGGATATCATACGATGATGTAAGAACTATTCGAAGAAAAGCTCAGTTTATTAAGAGCTTGCAGCTAGGTGGTGGCATGATTTGGGCTCTCGATTTAGACGACTTTCGTGGAATTTGTGGCTGCGGCAAGCACCCATTACTTCGGACTCTTAATCAGGAGCTGCTAGGACTTCCTGGACAAAAAGCTAAGGACTGCACTTAATAATTTTTGCACAATAGCCTAGCTTGCAATCTATTTTAATTTATTTTATAAAACTACATATTTACCAATTAAACTATTTAAATAAAGTGTTTTCACAGTTTTGAAACATTTAAAATGGATGGGCATTAATCAAAACATTAAGCTAAAGTGCAATTTTTTTAAGAAAACAAATGCGAATGCCCTAAATACGTAAGAAATATGAAATATAATAATAAATAATTTATAAAATTTGGTTTTAAGCATTTACTTCGCTTTTCCTAGCTTTATAGAGCATCCATCCATCAAAGATTTTTCCAAATATTAGTGAAAGGTTTTTGTTTTACAAAGAGACCCATATTCGGGGCTTGAACATAAACGGATGGTAAGGTTTCAGTTTCGAAGCAGTGTTAAAAAATATATCGGGATTGTCTCAAGATTCACTTCCGAAAGATTTATACGGAATCGAATATTCCCCTGTTACTATTACCCGTTACCTTATTCAATAGGCGTATTTCCACTCGAAAATTTTTTTAAAAACTTGCGTTATCGTTTAATAGAAATTAAATTTTTATAAAATTCCTCGCTGTTTAATGTTCATTACTGTCTCAAATTATAAATTAGAATCTTATTTGATTTATAAATACTACATTTTATATAGGCATAAACTTTAAAATAGCAACAAAATTCAGCCCATGATAACATATTCCTAAAGTTTAAGGAAAAAAACGTGGACATAGCGAATGGGTTTGTTTGAGCCGATATGGCGAAAGGCGAAAGAAAGCGCTATAACAGCATAGGAACATGAGACCAGCCATTAGGCGTCCTTGGAAATAATAGTGGCATTCGGTGGCCTCGCGAATATGCCGTCAATGCTCGGTACCGCATATTTTACGGTACACGAAATCATTTTCCTGACATCTAGGCACAACCGAATTTCGTACCAGCACTACCAGCTCTCGGTAGGTGACCTCCGTTTTGATGGTATTCCGTCTGCTGTGTGTAGGGATTGAATGAAATGTGTTCATTTTCTGAAGTTAATGAAGAGCCCATGAAGCTAATTCTGGTTCCCGTATATAATAAATTCACAAAAATCTAGAACTATACCTCCACATAATATCAGCTGTCTGTTCCTCGGCTTACTATGGTAGACACTAATAATGTAATGCATTACAAACGACTTTCCATTTAATTGTCTTTGATTCTTACCGATCTCCGATTTTTAATATTATTTGCTAGCATTACGTGTTAATAATATGTGTAAAATCTTTATTTAAACAATAAACAGTGAAGATACATAAATTAATTCTTAAGCTTTAATTATTATACATGATCCATCAATCATTACAATTCATCGATGAATGAGTTGGTAAATCCATTCTGGATTCAACCTTCTTTGGTTATTCAATGGTGTTCCGTCTAAATTTGTCCTACTATTTCTACTTTCGTTAGAAACATATGTCTACCAATAATTTGTTCGACTACGGGAGCCCGCGTCGTCGACTGATTTCAATTCGATTACCTTCCTCCTTCGTTGGCTTCGTTGTTGAGGTTTCGACCTCGTTTGACCTTATAGGTACCTGATAGCCTCTTATCGATGATTTCCTGAACATCCCTTTCTTCTAAGGATATTTCATTCCGTCTCTCAGTTGCCAGGGTAACACTTCCTGTTATATATTTCATATTTATTATTTCTATATTTACCCAGAAGCTTTCTGGGCCATGTTCAAAGTTGTTATCCTCGGAATGGTAACCAATGAAAAATCGCCAAAAATCGGCCTGATCACTCTGCTACTCTGTCGTTCGATCTTGTGCTAATGTCTTACTTTTCTAATACTTATGACGGGCATTTAATGACCACTCAGGACCCATATTCCAAGAAGATAACCCCGGATTGGTCAGAACTGAAAAATTGGCGTGAACACTTTGCTACTCTGCTACGATCTGTTGTTCGATCTTGTGGTAATGTCTTTCGGCTCCGCGTTGGCCACCAAATCTGTTATGTGCCTCACGATCATTTGATTTCCCTGAGTAAGAACTTATCACCCTTCTTCGGTTTAATCCATTTTGATTTTGGTTCTGGATTTCTCTCTGTTCTGTTAAACTGACGACTTTCGTTGTTGATTTCCTTTAAGGATCAGCTAGCAAAACTACCTGTGGTGGATTTCGTTGGAAATCTTAGTCTCCTCGATCTGTGGGCACCTACTCGATATATTGGAAATTCTTGCCTAATATTTATTTTACGTTTAAAGCAATACCTTCAGCAACACCTACTTAATGTGAATTTGTTTTCTTGGGTGCGCCTTTTTAACTTTAGCTGGTGGAAGTATACAGATATCCAATGATTACCGAAGATAAACGAAAAGTAAAACTAGTTTGAATGCCTATTTCTATCCTAAAAATATTTACATTTGCTAATATAGCGAGTTCAGCTTGTGGTACTTAGTTATTCATTAGCGGTAATTGACGTTTAATATTAATACTCGTTACTCGTAAAGTAAGAGGGTATACTAGATTCGTTGAAAAGTTTGTAACAGGTAGAAACAAGCGTTTCCGACCATATAAAGTATATATATTCTTGATAAGGATCAAAAACCGAGTCGATCTGGCCATGTCTGTCTGTCCGTATAAGCGTCGAGATCTGAGGAACTATTGTAACGAACTGTTATTCTTGGTTCTGATCCCTACAAATAGCAACGGCTAGCTCAGAGAGTTTGTTTGTTCGTCCCACCAAATTTATGATTTGTCTGATTGCCCGATCAAAGAGAAGACAGAGTTTTAGGTTCGAACAGCTTTATTTGCAGACTTCTTCAACGATAGACTCCTACAGTCCTCGCCGTTCTCTGGGCGGCGTCACTCCTTAGTCGTCCTTCCCTTGTTCTCGACCGCTTACCGTGCCGGCTCGAATGGGGCTTTAACGTTAGGTCAAGCTGACGCTCTTCCCCGAACCACCTTTGCCGACCAATGACTCCACCGTCCCTTCTGACCGTGCCAGGATCCTATGCACTGCCTGATATACTTCCTTTTCCTGCGCCGTCCTCGGGCTTAGGATGTTATGGTGGGGAGGTGTCACGTCCGTGGGTAAAGCCAACGCCCTTCCCCAAGCCACCTTTGCCGACCACTGACTTCACTGACCCTTCTGACCGTGCCAGTTCTTCACTTGCAGGGATCGTCTACCTTCGTCTCACTGACTGTCGGTCGCGGGGTATAGCTCCTCGAGTATTCTTCCTGTCCCGGGGTATAGCTCCTCGCGTATTCTCACTGACTGTCTGTCGCGCGGCTGTAGTGGGACTGCACCCGTGCCCTGCCCGATTATCCTCTTGCACGTATGACTGTCCACTTATCCCGGGGTATAGCTCTTCGCGTATTCTTACTGACTGTCTCGAGATGCGCTTGCGCCGTCCCTTTTATAGGCTGCGGGCACCCCGTTATTTCCCCTTTTGCGCACGGCCCGTTTTGGTAAAAGGTCCAAATGTCCCGTTAGTTTACGGTGCGTCCTCTTTGTGCTCGACCAAAGTCCACACCGTTTGCGTTCGTCCTCTGTGCCGTTGGCCGCATGGAATCCAGCGCGGTACCGTTAGATCACGGTCTCTCCGCTTTGCTCGAGTTCAAGGTTCATCATTTCCCGTTTGACCTGGTTGCCTTTGCCTCCTCCTGCATTCCAACCTTCTTCGCTGTTGCTAGGCAGCTTTCCTGCACCTCCATTTGTGGGGAGTTTTAAAACTCCTCACAGGTTATACAAATGATAGGTAGTAAAAAAATATAAAACCAAGAGAGAATTCTATACTCGAGTTCCCCGATTATCGGTTAACCGTTACTCATGCTGGAGTGGAATATCGGTAGAAAATGCCAAAAAAATTTAAAATTGTTTCAAACGTGTGAGTTTGGATGGAAGAGTAAGCGTGCCAAAACGATTTTTGGAAAATCTATAGAAAATGTATAATACTAAAACAAAATGAAAAAATATTAAATCATTTTTCGAAACTGTGGGCGTGACAGTTCTGGGCGGTTTTGGGGCGTTAGAGTGGGCGTGGCAAAAAGTTTTTCGGCAAATCTATAAAAATTTATAAGATATATATATAAAAAAATATCACAACATTTTTCAAGTGTGAGGTCGTGAAAGTTTTGGGCAGTTTGTGGGCGTGGAATATTTTTGTAAATTTATAGAAATTTACAAAATATATAAAAAAGTGAAAAAATATTACTACATTTCTCAAAAGTGTGGGCGTGACAGTTTTAATCAGTTTGTAGACGTGGCAACATCATTTAACAAAATCTTTATTTAAACAATAAACAGTGAAGATACACAAATTAATTCTTAAGCTTTAATTATTATACATGATCCATCAATCATTACAATTCATCGATGAATGAGTTGGTAAATCCGTTCTGGATTCAACCTTCTTTGGTTATTCAATGGTGTTCCGTCTAAATTTGTCCTACTATTTCTACTTTCGTTAGAAACATATGTCTACCAATAATTTGTTCGACTACGGGAGCCCGCGTCGTCGACTGATTTCAATTCGATTACCTTCCTCCTTCGTTGGCTTCGTTGTTGAGGTTTCGACCTCGTTTGACCTTATAGGTACCTGATAGCCTCTTATCGATGATTTCCTGAACATCCCTTTCTTCTAAGGATATTTCATTCCGTCTCTCAGTTGCCAGGGTAACACTTCCTGTTATATATTTCATATTTATTATTTCTATATTTACCCAGAAGCTTTCTGGGCCATGTTCAAAGTTGTTATCCTCGGAATGGTAACCAATGAAAAATCGCCAAAAATCGGCCTGATCACTCTGCTACTCTGTCGTTCGATCTTGTGCTAATGTCTTACTTTTCTAATACTTATGACGGGCATTTAATGACCACTCAGAACCCATATTCCAAGAAGATAACCCCGGATTGGTCAGAACTGAAAAATTGGCGTGAACACTTTGCTACTCTGCTACGATCTGTTGTTCGATCTTGTGGTAATGTCTTTCGGCTCCGCGTTGGCCACCAAATCTGTTATGTGCCTCACGATCATTTGATTTCCCTGAGTAAGAACTTATCACCCTTCTTCGGTTTAATCCATTT